GAGAACGACAAGAACAGGGCATAAGGAGAGAGAATTCAGAATGTTGATCAAGGCAGCTTCACTCCTCTGGTGTTCACAACATTGTACTGAGATGGGATCAAGTGCAAGATGCTTCTATGCCAGAATGACCGAGGTGTTATCTGAACAGAAGCAGCAGCCTAGAAACTACGTTGCAGCCTGGTTGAGATGTCGACTGTCTTTCTCTCTACTTAGGTCTGTATTGCTTTCCATCAAGGAACGAGATCAACGGCCTCTAATAGGACAACAGTCGCACACATTGACTATGAGGCGACAGTCACTGAATGCCGCATAGATGTGTGGCTTAACTAACTCAGAAATAAAATGGGGAGGTTGGAGGTCATACTAGAAAAAAATGCAATAGTAGTAGTAGTAGCTGTAGTAATAATAATAATAATAATAAATAATAATAACAACAGAGACCTGATAACTCTATAGCCAACTCCCCTGATAAAGCCAATCTCTTTGGCACCTGATTCTCCTCCTAATTCCACCTAAGACGATTCCAACTCTATCCCTCCTACTCCTGCTCCTCCTACTGAACCTATGCACTTTCCTATAATTTCCACTCGTAGAGTTGCTGGTGTGTTCTTAGGGAGTGTGCTGAAATTCTGGCCCCTGTGCTTGCTCACCTCTGACTCAAAACCCAAACTTTACCTTCTTCTTGGAAGTATGCTTTGGTTCAACCCATCTCGAAGAAGGGTGACCATTCTAATCCCCCTAACTATCGCTCCGTTGCCCTAACTTCATCCCTCTCTAAGATTTTAGAAACTTTCTTAAACTCCCATTTTCTCCGTCACCTTGAACACCCTTCTCTTTTGTTCGATCACCAGTATGGCTTTCGCCAGGCGAGATCTACTGGTGATCTGCTCTCCTACTGCACCCATCTCTGGTCATCCTCTCTTAGGGATTATGGGGAAACTTTCGTCGTGGCCCTCGACTTCTTTAACGCATTTGACAGGGTATGGCACAAGTCTTTGCTTTTTAAACTTCCCTCTAATTTCTAGCTTCCTTGAGAACCGATCCATGGCAGTTGTCGAGGGATCGACCTCTCACTCTTTCTCTACCAATAGTGGTGTCCCACAGGGTTCTGTTCATTCACCTACTCTCTTCCTTGTTTTGATCAATGATTTACTTCACACTACAACTAATTCTACCCTTTCTTTTGCTGATAATTCTACTCTTCACTCTTCTTCACATTTTCCTTCCCCCTAATTCTCAAACTAGATCTGTTCCTAAAGCTGATATCATTTCATCTATCAGTGCGGATCTGTGCAGCATCTCCGAATGGGGAGGTAGAAACTTGGTTAAATTCAATAGTAATAAAACTCAGTATTTACCAAATAAAATTTTAAAATTAGATGATCTCCCAACAATAACATTTCAGGACGCAATCCTTCTGCCAAGTTCTAGAATAGATATGCTCGGCCTCACCATTTCTTCTAATATGTCATGGAAACCACACATCCACAACATTGTTAAAGCTGCCTCCCGAAAGCTGGGAATGCTGTACACATGCTGTAGGTACTTCACCGAGCAGTTGCTTCAAGTATATTAGGGATTCATTCGTCCTAACTTGGACTACAGTAAGTCCTTGTTTAACGTTGGCCCGCTTAACTTTGTTTCGGTACTACCTTGCTAATTTTTTTTATTTTTTTATGGTTCTTTATTATTATTATTATTATTATTATTATTATTATTATTATTATTATTATTATTATTATTATTATTATTATTATTATTACAGTGTTTTTGTTATTATTATTATCATTATTATTTTATTATTTATTTTCAATTATTGATTTTTTTATTATAAATTTTATTTAATGTGAATTATTATTATTATTATTATTATTATTATTATTATTATTATTATTATTATTATTATTATTATTATTATTATTATTATTACATTTTCTCGCCCCAGGCCCCGATGTGGGCGAGTGACCTGTGCCCGGGTGGGCTAATCCCCGTAAAAAAAAGAAAAAGAAAAAAAAAAGAGCTGAGGACTATCTACAACGCCTTTATTCTCCCCAAATTAACGTATGCCTCACCAGCCTGGTCGTCTTCTCTCAACTCTACCCAACAACATCAGCTAGAGAAGGTACAGAAGAGGGCCTGCAGAATCATGCTCGGCGCAGACTACTCCTGCTACAACAACGCTCTCTCCACCCTGGAAATGCCATCCCTCAGTGACCTCCACCACCACGCACTAGCAAGGTTTGGCAGTGGACTGCTGCACCATCCTCATCATCGCCACCTCCTGCCACCGGCAGTCCCCCGCCCACCTCGCACAGCCCGCCACCACAACAAAATTCAGCCCATAAGAGCCTGCACTGATAGATATAAGAATAGCACCATCCCATCTTTTGTTAAAATAATAAACAGCTCCTGATTTATGTACTGTACAGCCCTGCCTGTAAATGTATTGAACGTATATTATTGTCTAAATCACATGTAAGTTTGTATATTTTCAGCCACCGGCTGCAACTCTATTAATAAACCGTTTATTATTTATTAATATTTATTATTATTTTACATCCACACACACCAAAAATTAAAAAAAAATAATTTCAATAATTTCCTATTAACCTCCAAATAAATACACGACTAATACATTTAAACGTGACATCCTCCTTCCCCCTCCTCCCACCTTCTCTCTCTTCCTCCTTCCCTCTCCTCCTACCTTCTCTCTCCTCCTTCTCCCACCTTCTCTCTCCTCCTCCTCTTCCCTCCTCTCTTCTCTCTTCCTCTTTCTATCTCCTCCTCCTCCACCTCACTCCTTTCTCTCCTCCTTCCCTCTCATCTTCCCCCCATCAACACCGTGAGAGAGGCGTATGGTCAGGTCCTGCCATACTACACTCCTTCACTCCTCATTCTAAGACTTTACTCATGAGGGGACGAGTCATTTATGGAGGGAGATGGGGAGGTGCAACACAAAGCCTCTTAGATGATCATCCCCCAGAACTAAGTCATCCGGATTATCCTACTCGACCGAGAACCTTGGGAGTAACAACTATTGAGACAAAGGGATGGACAACATGAACCCGGGCCATTTCTTTGTGATGTCACGCACCACCAACACGAGAGGACATAACTAAGATCTCACCAAGTTATCATGCAGAGTAAATATAAGGAAATACTTCTTTACACAATGGGTGGTAGATCTTTAAGAGGGTCTACCAGCTGTAGTGGGTGGTCATTAGTAAGGTGTAAATAAGGTCACCGTTGCGTCTGGTCACTTCATTTCTGGTGTGTTCCGTGACGTGGAGAGTTCCGTGACGTGGGGTGTTCCGTGTCGTGGAGTGTTCCGTTTTCTTGCAAATTTGTCACTTTCGCTGTTTTCTATACGATCTGTTATTTTAATATTTTCTATGATACTTAACCTCCCATTTCCTTTCATTCACTTGAAGTAGTATGTTAGTTTGTCGTTGTCAGCGTTCTATACAAGGGACATTCTTGCCTTTCTAATACTGGTTCAATAGTGTTTTCTGTTATAAATTACCTTTTAGAAGAACAGATGAAAAGAGGAGGATGAAGCAATATGAAGAAGAGACGCAAGACAAAGAAAGAAGAAAGAGAGAATGGAGGAAGGTTATGACGAACAGGAACAGCGGGGTTAGAGAGAAAGAGAGAGAGAGAGAGAGAGAGAGAGAGAGAGAGAGAGAGAGAGAGAGAGAGAGAGAGAGAGAGACGCAAGGAAGGATGTACTGAACAAAAACAAATAATCAGGGGAGTTTCCCTAGGGTGAGGCAAGATATACTGGCCTGCCACTTGTAAGGTGAACTGGTTTTCCCCCGCCCTCCTCCATACTGTTACTGAACGGTTCTAACGTCCTTCCCGCCTACCTCACTTTTTCTCCTTGCCGGAAGTGACGTGATTGTTTAGCGAGAATAATAATAATAATAATAATAATAATAATAATAATAATAATAATAATAATAATAATAATAATAATAATAATAATAATAATAATAATAATAATAATAATAATAATAATAATAATAATAATAATATCACGGTCAGTTTGTAACATAAAAATAGAATAATCTCCTTATACTAATTATTTTTTCTTGCACCTGTCACAAGATGGACAGGTGAACGACGACGCCTCCTTCACATAACAAAAACTCTTATCAGTTCAGAAAAATCTTTATGGCATAGTTCGTTATGGATCACCTGAGGATTAGTCCCACACCCTAACCCTACCAGGGGGTTAGGTTAGGTTGTGTTGGATTAGGTCGGGTGTGGGTTAGGTAAGGCTAGGTCAGGCTGTGTTAGGTTAGATTAGGTTAGGTTAGGTTAGGTTAGGTTAGGTTAGGTTAGGTTATCTTAGTGTTAAAGTGAAATAGTTCAGGGTCCGGTTTTCTCAACACTCTGACAATGGTCTTTCTCGTAAGAAGGTCCCTGGGTCTGGGGTTGAGGTCTTGCGAGGTCTGGGTTTGAGGTCTTGCGAGGTCTGGGGTTGAGGTCTTGAGAGGTCTGGGGTTGAGGTCATGAGAGGTCTGGGGTTGAGGTCTTGAGAGGTCTGGGGTTGAGGTCTTGAGAGGTCTGGGGTTGAGGTCTTGAGAGGTCTGGGGTTGGGGTCATGAGAGGTCTGGGGTTGAGGTCTTGAGAGGTCTGGGGTTGAGGTCTTGAGAGGTCTGGGGGGTTGGAGGTCTTGGAGAGGTCTGGGGTTGAGGTCATGAGAGGTCTGGGGTTGAGGTCTTGAGAGGTCTGGGGGTTGGGGTCAAGTGAGAGGTCTGGGGTTGAGGTCTTGAGGAGGTCTTGGGGTTGAGGTCTTGAGAGGTCTGGGGGTTGAGGTCATGAGAGGTCTAGTCTGTGTCCAGGAGGTCTGGGGTTGGAGGTCTGGGAAGTCTGGGGTTGAGGTCTGGGAGGTCTAGTTGAGGTCTCTGAGAGGTCTGGGGTTGGGGTCATGAGAGGTCTGGGGCTGAGGTCTTGAGAGGTCTGGGGTTGAGGTCTTGAGAGGTCTGGGGTTGGGGTCATGAGAGGTCTGGGGCTGAGGTCTTGAGAGGTCTGGGGCTGAGGTCTTGGAGAGGTCTGGGGGTTGGCTGGGTCTGAGAGGTCTGGGGTTGAGGTCTTGGGAGGTCTGGGGTTGAGGTCTTGAGAGGTCTGGGGTTGGGGTCAAGTGAGAGGTCTGGGGTTGAGGTCTTGAGAGAGAGGTCTGGGGGTTGAGGTCTTGGGAGGTTTGGGGTTGGGGTCATGAGAGGTCTGGGGTTGAGGTCTTGGGAGGTCTGGGGTTGAAGTCTTGAGAGGTCTGGGGTTGAGGTCTTGGGAGGTCTGGGGTTGAGGTCTTGGGAATGAGTAATGATCTCAAGAAGAGTCGGGGTGAAATAAGGGGTTGTTTCAGGGCCTGAGGTTAGGCTGAGTATCGAGGTCCGGGTTTGGGGTTGTCGCCATACAAAATGTCGTAAACCCTTTAACCATGAGACCTCCAGATTGCATGACTTTCCGAGTACTGAAGAGGAAGGCATTGTGTTCGGGTGTGTCATGAGGGTGTGGTTGGGCGTGTCATGACGGTGTGGTCGGGCATGAGTGGTGTAGCATGACCTTGACGACTCATGCAACTCTCAACACAGAATAATAATGTCTTGGTTCTGGCTGCCTACTGAGGGCTGTACCGAAAATATTGAAGAAGGTTTTAATATCTATTTTGTTAAAGTTTTATTTATTCAGTGCTGTTGTTTATTACTGAGAGGATGTTGTTGAAATTTATAGGGAGTGTACAGTTTGTTCTCTCTCTCTCTCTCTCTCTCTCTCTCTCTCTCTCTCTCTCTCTCTCGCTTCTACCCTCCCTCCACCTACCCAACTACCCTCCTTCACTCCCACCTACCCAACCACCTTCCTTCACTCCCATCTACCCAACCACCCTCCTTCACTCCCACCTACCCAACTACCCTCCTTCACTCCCACCTACCCAACCACCGTCCTTCACTCCCACCTACCCAACCACCCTCCTTCACCCCTCCCCTCTCTCCCTCCGTCCCTCCCTCTCCCTAAATCACACCACCCAAACTAGTTCAACATCTTGACATTTAACGCTGATTTTTAACATTCCTTCGCCCACTTACGAAACAGGATGTGGATGTCCAGGTAAATCTCAAATACACCTTTATATTATCACACCTGCGGGGGGGGGCGGGTACAGTCTTGCTTTACATACACCCCGGATCCTTCTCTAACTGGTACTAAGTGAACGTATCTAGTTAAGGCATAATCACAATTTATTTTTTACTCTAACTTATGTTAAGTTTCCCGTCGCATTTACATATTCTCAACTAATTTACAGTGTAGTTTGTAAATTAACTTTCATATTTATTGGTCTATCAGCTATTTTACATTTTCAACTTGATATATTTACAAGTTATCTACTAATTTACAGTCTACGTTCACTGCCAACATTTACGATGCGTGACGTAAGGTCGTTTGATGTACCTGAGTCAATTAGCACTGTCTACCTGCTGAAGGGTACCTGGTGAAGGAAGAGAGAGAGAGAGAGAGAGAGAGAGAGAGAGAGAGAGAGAGAGAGAGAGAGAGAGAGAGAGAGAGAGAGAGAGAGAGAGAGAGAGAAGAATAGAAAGATAAAGAAGCAGAAACAACCATACAGACAGAGAGACAGACAGAGAGACGCAGACAGCAACTTTCACTCGTTTCGTCTTCACTTTCACACTAGCGACCTTGAAAGTGACGGGTAGGAAGTGATGGGGATATGGGGGAGTGGCGAGGAGGAGGAGGAAGGGTGATGAGGTGAGGAGGAGGGGAGCAAGAATGATGGGGTGAGGAGGAGGGGGAGGAAGAATGATGGGGTGAGGGAGGAGGGGAGCAAGAATGATGGGGTGAGGGGAGAGGGGGAGCAAGAATGATGGGGTGAGGGAGGAGGGGAGAAGAATGATGGGGTGAGGGAGGAGGGGGGAGCAAGAATGATGGGGTGAGGGGAGGAGGGGAGCAAGAATGATGGGGTGAGGGAGGAGGGGGAGGAAGAATGATGGGGTGAGGGAGGAGGGGGGAGCAAGAATGATGGGGTGAGGGAGGAGGGGAGCAAGAATGATGGGGTGAGGAGGAGGGGGAAGAATGTGGGTGAGGGAGGAGGGGAGAATGATAGGGGGAGGGGGAAGAATGATGGGTGAGGGAGGAGGGGAGGAAGAATGATGGGGTGAGGGAGGAGGGAGGAAGAATGATGGGGTGAGGGGAGGAGGGGAGCAAGAATGATGGGGGTGAGGGAGGAGGGAAAGAATGATGGGGTGAGGGAGGAGGGGAGGAAGAATGATGGGGTGAGGGAGGAGGGGGAGGAAGAATATGGGGTGAGGGAGGAGGGGGAGGAAGAATGATGGGGTGAGGGAGGAGGGGGAGGAAGAATGATGGGGTGAGGGAGGAGGGGAGGAAGAATGATGGGGTGAGGGAGGAGGGGGAGGAAGAATGATGGGGTTGAGGGAGGAGGGAGGAAGAATGATGGGGTTGAGGGAGGAGGGGGAGGATATGATGGGTGAGGAGGAGGGAGCAAGAATGATGGGGTGAGGGAGGGGAGGAAGAAGTGTAGGGGGAGAATGATGGGGTGAGGGAGGAGGGAGGAAGAATGATGGGTGAGGGAGGAGGGGGAGCAGAATGATGGGGTGGGGGGAGGGGAGGAAGAATGATGGGGAGGGGGAGCAGAGAGGGGGAGGGAGGGGGAGGAGGAGAATGATGGGGTGAGGAGGAGGAGGAAGAATGATGGGGTGAGGAAGAGGGAGGAAGAATGATGGGGTGAGGAGGAGGGGGAGGGGGGAGGAAGAATGATGGGGTGGGGAGGAGGGAGGAAGAATGATCGGGTGAGGGAGGAGGGAGAGGAAGAATGATGGGGTGAGGGGAGGGGAGCAGAATGATGGGAGGAGGAGGAAGAATGATGGGGTGAGGGAGGAGGAGCAAGAATGATGGGGTGAGGAGGAGGAGGAGGAAGAATGATGGGGTGTGAGGGAGGAGGAAGAATGATGGGGAGGAAGAATGATGGGTGGGAGGAAGAATGATGGGGTGAGGGGAGGGAGGAAGAATGATCGGGTGAGGGAGGAGGAGGAAGAATGATGGGGTGAGGAGGAGGGAGGAGAATGATGGGTGAGGAGGAGGAGGAAGAATGATGGGGTTGAGGAGGAGGGGGAGCAAGAATGATGGGATTGAGGAGGAGGGGAGGAAGAATGATGGGAGGAGGGGGGAGGAAGAATGATGGGGTGAGGGGAGGGAGGGGGAGCAGAATGATGGAGTGGGGAGGAGGGGAGCAAGAATGATGGGGTGAGGGGGGGGGGGGGGAGGAGGAGGAAGAATGATGGGGTGAGGGGAGGAGGAGGGGGAACAGGTTAAACCTCTTGTAAAGTCATTTCTATATTTAGTAGGTTCTGGTCATCTTTTTCCTGACTGGATTATCTATAGAAAGAATCAGGGGTAGTCTAATCCTCTATCCTCTGGACTAAGGGGGCCTAGATCCCCTATTAAAAGGATCAGGGGTAGTCTAATCCTCTATCCTCTCGACTAAGGGGGCACAGATCCCCTATTAAAAGAATCAGGGGTAGTCTAATCCTCTAGCCTCTCGACTAAGGGGGCATAGATCCCCTATTAAAAGGATCATAAATTATCAAATACTCTTAAATAGTGAATAAGAACATAAATCCTCTATAACAAAAGAGATCAGAGCTCATTTGATCCCTTCACATGACTTATGAACCTCTTTTGGGTCAGTGACTTTGGGATTCCCTCATCTATACTCGCCACAGTAAGGCATCTGAATCCCTGCCTTCACTTGCCATTGTATGTATCAGTGCTCCTTGGGGTGATAGCATCGTGAATTCAATCTCGTATGAAGCAAAAAATATATATGAATCTGACCTTCCTTTCTCCCGTCTCCCGCCTTCACGTTTCTAGGCACGTTTGTTTATTTACGGGTGACGTTAATATGCTCTGTTTATTTATGGGTGACGTTTTACTGGGCTGTACATAGTGGTAATGAAACGTTAACAATTACCTGGATTTTATGTTAGGTGTCGTTATCCTAACCTAACCTAACCAAACCTATCCTAACCTAACCAATCTAACTTAATCTAGCAATAACCTAATCAAATCTAATCTTACAATAACATAGCCTAAGTTAACCTAATCAAACCTAACATAACCTAACCTAATCAACTCTCCCCAAACATAATCTAACCCACCACAACCTAACCTAACCTAAGCTAACTTAATCTAACCTAACCTAACACTTCCTCCTCCCCAGGTAGAGTTAAGGTGGTTAGATCATCAAGGAAAAAAAAGCTAGGATGTCTAATCTTCAGGTCAACCCCAAGTACTTTATACCCTTTTATATCAGTGAACTAAGCGCATGATCCATTTGCTTGTTTCATGTTTACATTTGGAACACTATTGTCATATCCCTTGGCATCGTTCACTCTATCGGGCTTACTAGAGTGGTGCGTAGAAAAGGTATATGTTTTTTGTTCCTGGGTATGGTAACAGTGATGGATCTATGGGAGAATACACATTATACTGTATAGTCCCACATACACGTTCACACGACCATACACATACATAAATATACACACTCTTCAGCTAATGTTTAACCCCATAGTTCCCTCCTTTACTAACACTTGTGGTAAGTTAACTGCCCACCAGCACCATTTGGCGATATTCTCTCTTTCTCTCTCTCTCTCATCATCAACCATACGCTTTCTCCCTAGTGGCCCCCCCTACACTAACAACCTAACCTAATCCAACCTAACCTAATCCAACCTAACCTAATCCAACCTAACCTAATCTAACCTACACTAAACTAACCTAACATTTGTAGTAGGAACAGAAAACGGGAATTGGGTCGCCCACTTTCAAATTGATTCCTTGTACAAAATAGATATAAAATAAGGAAGGTCTATTGGTGAGTGGATAGAAGAGAGAGAGAGAGAGAGAGAGAGAGAGAGAGAGAGAGAGAGAGAGAGAGAGAGAGAGAGAGATCACTTTGTGCCTTAAGCGTTGAAATCACCAGAGAGAGAGAGAGAGAGAAGAGAGAGAAGAGAGAGAGAGAGAGAGAGAGAGAGATCACTTTGTGCCTTAGCGGAAATCACCAGAGAGAGAGAGAGAGAGAGAGAGAGAGAGAGAGAGAGAAGAGAGAGAGAGAGAGAGAGAGGAGAGAGAGAGAGAGGAAGAGAAGATAAAGAAGCAGAAACAACCATACAGACAGAGAGGACACAGAGAGACGCAGACAGCAACTTTACTGTTTGTCTTCACTTTCTCACTAGCGACCTGAAAGGACGGGTAGGAAGTGATGGGGATATGGGGAGTAAGGAGGAGGAGGAAGGGTGATGAGGTGAGGGAGGAGGGGAGCAAGAATGATGGGTGAGGGAGGAGGGGGAGGAAGAATGATGGGGTGAGGGAGGAGGGGGAGAAGAATGATGGGGTGAGGGGGAGGGAGGAAGAATGATGGGTGAGGGAGGAGGGGAGGAAGAATGATGGGGTGAGGGAG